GGGGGGCGGGGGCAGGGACACGGAAGCGGGCTCCCTGGGCGAGAGCGGAACCGACGCGGAGGCTGCGCGGGCGTCTGAACCCCAAGAATGGAGGCGCCGCTCTTGTAGTCGCCGGCCTTGTTTTCTTCTTGAACGCAAATCCCGGAACGACCGGAACCGCCATCCCCGCCTGCGTCCCAGGGGCGCCCCATTACGCATGGGGGAGGGTGCGTCCCGCGGGGCTACTCCGAGAGGGGATCCGTGAGGCCGAGGCCGGGGAGGGCTGCGAGGTGGCTCGCGGGTGTGCGAGCCGGAGCGGGGCTGCACACCACACAAACAGTCTCCCCTTCCCCAGGAAGAGCGGGCTAGGGAAGACGCGGGCTAGCTCTGGGGGCTCCCCAGGACTGTGGGAGCCAGGCGGGGACCGCAAAGCGGGAGGGGGTGCTGCAGAGAAACCATCGACTCCACCTGGAAGACATTGGTGGCCTCGTGGCCGGTGGTGAACGGTCTCACGCTTCCCCAAAGTGGCGCGCGCTACTCCAGCGTGGGAGGGAAAGGACACAAACTTGGCCATCTGCCAGAACCCTTGAGGACGCCTGACTTTGGTGTCCCCCCGCCCCCCGCAGTGGCCCGAAATGTACTCTCCCTCCCATAGTCCACGAGGTTCAAGTCCGAGGCCTGGAAAAGTAGGGTCGCGTGGTCTGGCCTCGGATGGGAAACCCACCCACGTTATTCTCAGGTGCCACGCGGGGAAGGCGCGGAACAGTTTTCTTGCAAAGTTTCCCGCCCCTCACCCCAGTCGAGGAAGGGCGGCTCTTCCGGAGGTGGGGGCAGGGAACGGCCTCGGAGCAGGGAGTGGTGCTAGTTCCTCTTCCCCGCGATCGCTCGGGCAGCCGGCGCGTTCGCGTCCCCAGACGCTGCACCCCAGTTTGCTGCAACGTCTGCTCGGAGTCGCGGCAGCGGGTGCTGCGCGGAGTCTAGGACGACGCGAGACGCCATTTGCATCCCCCCTCCCTCCTGCAGGTTGGCGGGGGCGGCGGTGTCGCCCGCCGCGGAAGCGTATTCCTGGCAGTGACACTGATTAGATGCTGTGTCGATACGTGCACAGAATCGGGGTGGGCCTTCACCTCTCCTCTGCGCACACACTTTCTGTTGGAAAAGTTGCGGGTTTTTTTTCTCCCCTTCTCGCCGCACAGCTGCTGTCTCCAGGGCGGAATTAGGCGACCACGTTTGCTCAGCCCGAAGGAGAGAGAATCGCGCCGGCGCTGGGAGGCCGCCGGGCCCGAGCCGCGAAAATCCAGCCCTGGCTTTGCGTCGAGCTGCTGAGTGCCGCGCTTACGCGCGCGGGGCCAGCCGGGGCCTGGTTTCCATCTGCCCCTTTTGCCTCCGTGTTAAGTTCGCCGGGGAAAACCCAACGATCCGTGCAGAGCCCCTCGGAGGAGAGTCCCCGCCCCACCCCACCCCCAGCCCGATCCCGACCGATGGAAAAAATGACAGTATAGGTTAGAACAGGCTGCCCGCGAGTATTAATGCGGGCGGCCTCCGTTCCCGGTGCTTGGGGAGGATGGGCGCTTCGCCAGGAAACCGCCGAAGGAGGAGCCATGAGGGCCGCCTGCCTCTTCCCGGGCTAGAAAACGTGGATTCTCAGAGGAACCAGACAAATGTGGTCAGACAGCTGCAGGAACTTACCCCATCTAAATACAGGTTGCCCATGTATATTCCAACCAAGATCATTTTTGTTTCAATCTAATATACGTTGAGTCAATTAGAAATACTGTGAGAACTGGTCAAACGATAGATAGGAAACTTGCTCTTTGCCTGGTGTTAAATGTATGCTCAGGAGGTGCGGGGCTGAGCACTACCGGCGCAGCCAGTCTGTGTCCTCAGGAGACAGGGTCCCCTTTGCGTTCCACCTTCAAAGACCTTAATAGAACGCGAAGAGAGGATTTATTTTAGTTGTAGTTTCTATTTGGGGGTTGCTTAATCCTTGCAAACTCCTGCCTGGGGTTGTTGGTAGTTAGTAGTAGATGGTCCTGCGTTTTGGCTTTTACAGTCCACGTTTTTCTCTTGGCTTTTTCTTTTTCTGTGTACACGCTGCTGGGTGCGGGGAGGGGGCTGCCCAGACGTGTGCTGCCGCCGCCCTCGGGCTCTTACTTGCGCACCACGCGGTCTCGGAGGAGGGGAAATGTGAACTCTCCGGGTGGCGCTCGAGAACTGGAATTCTGATATAGGGCTGCGGGTTTGTTCCGGAGGCTGGCTGGGAGCGGCTTGTAGGGGCCGGAGGCTGTGAAGGGGAAGCCCCAGAGGTGACCCTGAGGCCTCAGGAGCAAACCTGGAGGCGCCCGTGTTCTTTGTCTTTCTCGGGGCTGGCAGCTTGGCACGCACAGTCCGATAAGGATCTACTGAGAGCTAGAGCGCACTGCCAGCACATTTCAGTGATTAGGCAAACGCCGGTAGCCACTTAAGGCAAAGGCCATTTGCGTTGTCTTTGAAAAGGAAAAGGCAGCCTCACCTAATGAATTATGGGTGACCCTGGAGAGGCCAAGCAGGGGAGGCCGAGGCCTCCTTAGGCTGTTATACGCCGCAACTCCTCCCCTTTGTGCCAGAGTCCCCATTTCGAAGGTAATGGGAAGCGTTTTGAAATTAGAAGTCTGACGGATTCTGTCTACAGAAGTGGTATTTGCATCTGTGCGTCAGTAAAATGTGGCCAGCCAGCAGCCCAGGGACAAGGCCTGCCATACGCCAGCCCTGGACCAGTGTTAGACCAAAGTACATCCCAGAGGACATGGCTTTTGGCCAACTCCTCGGAGAACTGATTTAAAGAGGTGGCCTTCAGCCATCAAAAAAGGTGGCCTGGAAGAGTAGGCTGGAGGTCCTGGAAACCGGCGCTCTTCCCCAGGGCTGCAGGGAGAGAGTGGGTAATGTTGCCTGAGCCCTGACGGAACTTGCCATTAATCCAGTCTAAATGAGCACCATTAAAGAGGACTCTCCCTCCTATCCACCACCACACACACAAGCCTTTACGGGAAGGTCTAGTGGAGACAGTTTGAGGGCATTTGGCCTTCACTTTTCAGTGGCCATACAATAGTGTCCTTTCCACCCTGCCAAGACCACTGGCTCCATGTAAACCTCCAGGAACTTTAACCTGGACCTTGTTCTTTACTCCCTCCCCATCCAAAGGGAGTACCAGATTATAGCAACAAGCACATGTAGTATTGTACTGGAGGCAGCGTTCTAAGCGCCTTATGTATGGAGGGAGGCATGTTATCCTCAGAACAGCCCTACGAGGTAGATACTAGTATTGGCCTTGTTTTACAGATGAGGACTCTGAGGTTCCGAACTGTTAAGCGGTTTGCCCAAAGCCGCACAGCTTGGGATAGGGCATGATTGACCAGAGGGAGAGATAAGGCTGTGTTGCCTCTCTAGCGTTTTATAATGAAAGTGAGCTGTTTGGGAGGTGTTTCGAGAGGACTGCCTGGACCCCAACCTTCCAGAGGAAAATATGAAGAGATCAGAAGGCCCAACATTTGGCCTTTATTTTGCAAAACAAAGGTCTGTAGAGTTGTACGGCAGCATGTTACTGTGACTCTCCCGCGGCAAGGAAGAGGTCAGGGAAGGCAGTGCAAAGGCCCCCCTGGCCCACCTAGCCGCATAGCATCCGGCGGTCACGTCCGCCGGAGGTGACTGGGGACTGGGGACAGCCGATTGCCGAGGAACTCCTTATCGCCTAGTGTCAGTGCTCCCGGGTGCCGGAGCTAAACGTCCGCTTGCGGGGGCGGCTGGTTCACACCAGTCCCCTGGCTCCCGACGCGCCCCAGGGCTCCTCTGGCGGAGCTGGCTAGATGCCCGGCGGCGGCTCCGAAGCTCCGGGCTCCCCGCCACTTGCCCCGCCAGCCCGAGGCATGAAGCCCCACGGCCCAGGATTGGAGAGCCCAGTTCCTCAGTCCAGGTTGGGACTGCTGGTTCTGGGTTGCTCACGATCACTCTTCCCTCAACACCCGTCCGGCCGGGGCGCGCGCGCAGACACACAAACACAAACGGCTTCCAAGCGCGCAGCCCGCCTCCCGGGCCTCCGCTTTTCCTTCCTCCTCCCCGCTCGGGCGCTTCGGAAGCCCGTGGCGGTTGTGTGCTGCGCCAGGGAAGAGTCCGGGTTGGGGAGACCGCGCTGCTCTCTTGACCCCAAGGTCTGCGTGCACGCTAGTACCCTTGGGAAGCACAGTCAGGCTTGTGGGTTCCCATCTTAGCGAGAAGTGACGGCTGCTGGCGAGGACCTGTTCGCTCCGTGTTTCGCAATGGCCCGGGGATCATAGGAGAGGGCCGGGCGGTGGGGCCTGCGCGTGGATGAGGGTGGCGGTAAATCCCCTCTCCCGCGAAGGTGGCTGAACCTCCGGCCACCGCTAGTAGGGGTCTACCCTGCTCGTCTTGCATTGGCCGCAGCTTGACTCCCCTGCGTGCCGCGGGCCGGTGTGGGTGTCCCCACTCCCTCAGGCCTTTACTTTCAGCTCGCGAAACCCCATGGATCCGCGGCTGGGCTGGGC